CTTGATTAACAAACAATAATCTAAGCATACACTTGTTCTATGAGACTAAGCATGCACTTAACTGTTGGTTCCTTCCTTCTCAACCATTCGATCAAAACCAAATTCTATTTAATTCCAACACTCCCCTTTAAATGAATTCTGGTTTTGATCCCAAGCATTCCTCTGAGATAGACAAATCTTTCCTTTGGTAGAGCTTTGGTGAAGATGTCTGCCATTTGATCCTGTGATTTGCAGTAGATCAGTTCAATTGTATTCTCCTGCAAAGCTTCCCTTATAAAGTGAAACTTCCTTTTGATATGCTTGGTTTTCTGGTGAAACATAGGATTTTTGGTCATTGCTATTGCTGATGTGTTGTCACACATAAGTGGTGTAGCATCCACTTGCATTTCAACAAAATCCTTTAACACAAACCTCAACCATATAGCTTGGGAGGTAACCATTGCAGCACTCACATACTCTACCTCAGCCGTAGACAGTGCAACACTTTGTTGCTTGACAGAGGCCCAAGAAAATATCCCAAAACCAAATGTAAATGCATATCTTGAAGTACTTCTCATGTCATCTTCACTGCCACCCCAATCACTGTCACAGAAGCCTACCAGAATTGCTTCTTCTCCCTTTTCATATTTGATTCCATAGTCCAAGGTCCCTGAGATATACCTAAGTACTATCTTGGCAGTTCCCATATGAATTCTTATGGGATTATGCATGAACCTTGATAAGAGACTGGCTGCATACATAATGTATGGCCTTGTGGCAGTCAAGTAAAGTAAACTTCCAACCATTTTTCTGTATAATCTTTCATCAGCAGGTTCAGAACCATCCATTTTACAAAGTTTCTCATTTGTGATCAATGGTGTTGCCGCAGATTTGCATCCTTCCAGATTGAATCTTTCAAGCAATGATTGTGCATACTTTTGTTGATGTATGAAAATCCTCGTAACTTCTTGTATTACTCCAATTCCCAAGAAGTGATGCAACAAGCCAAGATCCGTCATCTCATATTGTCTCATCATGTCCCTTCTGAATTCTTCAATTATTTCTTCACAATTACCAATAAAGACCACATCATCAACATATATAGATACAATAAGCATCTCAGAGTTCTCACCAGTTTTTGTATACAATGTAGCTTCACTAGGACTTTTGTTAAATCCACTCTTGTTGAAATAAGAGTCTATCTCACTGTACCAAGCCCTGGGGGCTTGTTTGAGTCCATACAGTGCTTTGTTTAACCTATACACCATCTCTTCTTCATTTGGAACTTCAAATCCCTGTGGTTGATCCACATACACTTCTTCCTCCAGAGTGCCATTTAGAAAAGGCTGATTTAACATCTAACTGGTGAAGTTTCCATCCCTTTTGGGCAACAAGAGCAATCAAGGTTCTAATGGTATCTAACCTAGCCACTGGGGCAAAGGTTTCATTGAAATCTACCCCAGGTTGTTATGAGTAGCCTTTGGCAACCAATCTTGCTTTGTTCTTCTGTATTGATCCATCCAAATTCAGTTTGGTCTTGTAGATCCATTTCACACCTATCACAGGTTTATCACTCAGTCTATTTACCAATTTCCAGGTAAAGTTTTTCTCAATCATGGCAATTTCTTCACTCATTGCTTTCTGCCAAGATTGATCATTCTCAACTTCTTCAAAACTCTCTGGTTCAACAACTACTGCATAGATCTCATCTAAACTCCTCATTCTCAATGGAGTTGTTTCTGGGGAAGAATCCTGCAATTCTCGTCCTTCTGCATTTGAAGTAGAGGACTGAGATCCTTGTGTTGGGGTTGAAAATTCATTTTGTCTTCCATTTTGCATAACAGGTTCATTCTCAATTTGCACATCAGCTTGTGCTTCTTCCATTGTTAGTGGAAATGAGATGGTGTCAATGTTGTTGGTTTCCCAATTCCATGCTTCATTTTCCTTGAACACCATATCTCTTGAGATAATCACTTTATGTGACCCCATATTGTAGAGCCTTTAGCCCTTTTCACAGCTTCCATAACCTACAAGAACACACTTGATACTATTGATTTCAAGCTTGTGTCTTAATTGAGATGGTATTTGTGCATAGCAGATTGATCTGAACACCTTCAAGTGCTTCACACTTGGTTTTCTGCCACTAAATGCCTCAAAAGGTGTTTTCTTCTCAAGTGCTTTAGTTGGACACCTGTTTAGGAGATACACAGATGTATTGACAGCTTCACCCCAAAAGGAAAGTGGCATTTTCTTATCATGTAGCATTGACTTGGTCATTTCAACCACAATCATGTTCTTCCTCTTTGTTACACCATTCTGTTGTGGTGTGTAGGCCACTGTTAGTTGCTTCTGTAATCCTGCTCCTTCACAAAATTCTTGGAACTCAAATGAAGTGAACTCACCACCTCTGTCACTTCTTAGCCTTTTGATCTTGAGACCACTCTGAAGTTCAACCATCACCTTGAATTTCTTAAAGATTGAAAAGACTTCACTCTTGTTTCTCATAAAGTATACCCAAACCATCCTGGTGCAGTCATCAATGAATAACAGAAAGTATTTATTCCCACTAAGTGTAGGTGTCTTCATTGGACCACACACATCTGTGTGAATGAGTTATAGAGGCTGGCCTGCTCTCCATGCATTTCCAGTTTCAAAAGAGTCCCTATGATGCTTCCCCAATATGCAACCTTCACATGGTTCTTTAGTATCTTATAACTCAAGAAGACCAGTCACCATTTGTAATTTCTCCAATCTCTTTAAACTATGAAAGTTTAGATGTCCAAACCTTTTGTGCCATAACCAAGAGTTTTCTGCAACACTTGCTTTTAGAGCAATTAAGTCATTGTAATCTAGCATAAGTGGAAAATTGTTGTTCCCTGTCATGCCAACTTATGTTACCAAGTTTTGGAGGCTTTTGTCATCAAAGATCTCCACCATATTGTCTCCAAAAAGTAAGAAATAACCATGACCAATCATATGTCCCACACTAAGGAGATTCTCATCTAGGCCAGGTACAAGTATCATATCCTTGATGAATCTTCTTCCACCTTTTGTCTCTAGAACAAGAGTTCCTTTTCCAGTAGCTTCCACAAGTTGTCCATTCCCCATTTTTACTCTACAATTGAAGCCTCTGTCAATGTTGATTAACAAGGATTCATATGCAGTCATATGATTACTGCATCCACTGTCAATATACCAGATTCCTTTCTTATTTTCGGTTCTTGCAACACTACAAGTATAAAAGACATTTACTTCTTCTTCTTCTGCTCTATGTGCATAATTGACAGCTTGGTTCCTTCTTGGATTACAATCTTTTGCTAGATGGCCAAATCTGTCACACTTGGTGCATTTGGGTTTTCCCTTGAATGATACCAAGAGCTTTTGCATCTCTGGTTTCATTAACCTTCATTGATATCTTCTTCACAAACTGTTAATCTTCATCGCTAGAATCATTATCAGTTTCTGCGATTTCAAAACCCCTGTCCACCAAATTCCATAGATCATGTGATTTGAATATGGTCTTCATCTTGATGGACCAAAAATCATAGTTGGACCCATTAAAGATAGGAGCCCTCAGATCTCCTCCACTGCTCGAGGTAGCCATGTGAGACTTTGTAAGAACAGATGAGGTTTTTCAAAATCTGGGTTTGTTTTTCCCCTTTTCTTAGCACACAAAACGCCCAGTCTTGAAATTGATCAGAACCTAAGCTCTGAGGCCATGATAAATTCTTGAGTGTTAATTTGTAGTTGGTATGATGATTTTCGAGGATTGACAAGGGACAAGAATTTGGAATTTTTGAGGAAACTGTAGTGCTCTCTTTGTCTAGAGCAAGCACAGATATTTTCATTGAAATATCAACACATTGGACTTTTCTCTTACAAGCTACTCTAGAGCAATATCAGCCCTTGATTAACAAACAGTAATCTAAAGCATACACTTGTCCTATGAGACTAAGCATGCACTTAACTGTTGGTTCCTTCCTTCTCAACCATTCGATCAAAACCAAATTCTATTTAATTCCAACAAAAGCCGCAGCCACTCCATGACAACAAGATGCGTTCGATCGGGTTAAGGATTGTTATGTGAATGGATTTATTCCACTCTTATATAAACTCTAAATTATTATTGTTTGAATGTTTGAGGTTAAAACAATAACTCACCAAGGCGCGCATAAAGTAGCCTCGCTCTGGAAGACAAGTACATGGAACAAAACCGGCCCAGAACAAGAAAAGAGCTCAATATATAGGCCAAAAACAATCAACCACTATTCTGGAGAAGGGCCTTATGTATAGGATAAAAGACGATCCTCAAACTAAACTATAGCCGACTGTATAGTAAGTGCAAACTTGGCCAAGATGAGCAACTCCATTACGGTGATCAGGGATGTGGTTGATGCCCGGGGTGGGAAAAAACCGCTAAACCAAAGCAATCCATTATTCATTTAGTTTTGAAGATTTCCTTTTGTTAAAAAATAGAAAATATTATATTAACATTTCAAGGGGAATTGTAAATTACTAATTAAACAATAGTTAAAAGAAAAATAGTGGTGGGTTATCTGCTCTGGTGGTTGGAGCATAACTTTAACCACTGCGTTTCGAGTTCAAATCCATCTATTTCTCTCATTGTAGATAATATTAGAGAAGATTGAGAAAGTTTTGTAGAGAATTTGTCAAATTCAAAGGAATATGAATCTTTGTTCTTAGAATTAAATATAACAACATGTGAGAGAGAACTTAATTAATAACAAATGGCGACAACAAAAAAGAAAATGTCACGTGAATATATAACACCAAGCAAAATACCAAATTGTGAAGTATGATTCTGTTCATTTTGGTCCAAGCTTGGTTGCACTTTTGTCAAAGTAAAGATCAAACTAAACTGCCCAAACTGGTTTGACGTGGTTGGTTTTTGAATGATTTGTTGAATTTTGCCACCACTGCACATTAATTATTCCCTAAACTCTAAAATACTTAAGTTGATAAATATTTAATTAAAAATAAACTAGATTAGGTTTGTCGTTCTGCCAGGAGGTTAGGAACTATGAAGATTCCCAGGGCTCAATGAAATGATTCCGAACTCAAGCATCTGTGTCGTTATTAGATATTTTGTTTTGGTGCAATACTGAGTGTATACATTTGATGACTGGGTATAATCTCTCTAGACCGTCACAAAAACAACGGTAGATGCCACTACTCAACTTGTGAGAACCAATAAATTCAGGGTGTGCGGGGGAGTTCTATCAGTTCTCACGTTTTCTCCCCATTTCAAAAGAGAATCAGTACTCTCTCTCTCTCTCTCTCTCTCTCTCTCTGAGCAATGGCATTCTCCTCAGTACTCTCTGCAGTCCCAAGAAGGTTAGCAGAACATGCTTAATCAATCAAGGTTTTTTAGTTTTCAGTTTGTGCCTCTGTTCGTGTACCTTTTTCTAGTTAATCAGTTTCTAACTTTCTATGATTAATCAAGTTTTACTTTTTTCGCTAATTAAACTTACGAACTGCAACCTCTCTTGAGTCTTGACTCATCCTAGCTATCTACCAAATTATCAAACAAAACTTTTCTCATGATAGAATGAAGCTAGTTTCCTCAACATGCTGATTGCTGACCCAGCTTTGCAAATGTGTACTCAAAATAAAATGGCTTCACAAAAATACAAGTTCATGGTGCCTATCCTCTAATGGAAAATGATTTCCATCCTCTTATTTTCTCCTATTGCACATCTTTATTTGTTTATCTCTCTTGATTCTTCTTTGATTTATTCAATCTAATGACTAAAAATAGAGAAGAGTAATCATTTCATTTACTTAATTTGTCCAAGCTAGAGATTTATGCGTAGACGCTAATTAAGCCGGCTAAGGCAAATCTTTGATTCCTCCACTATTTGGTTGACGAGCCACTGAGAACATGATTCAATTTGGTCATTGGAAACAATCACTACAAGAAAAGTGAGCAACAACAGTCCTAATTTATTAGTAACCATTTAGGTAACTTTTGTTGTTGAGGTAACAACGATGTTCAAAGGAAATAAAGGTGTAAAAAATAAGAAAAAAAAGTAGGTAATAGTTACGTCTCAAAGGCGGCAAACACATTAATTTTGTTTCGTCACTATTTTCTCATTGGCAACATCGTTGTTACCCAAACAACATCTACAAAAAGAGTTACTAATTAGGGTAAGTTTTTACTCACTTTTCTTATAGTGAAAGTGCTCATTCCTCCTAATTATTGCATCATCTGTTTATGTACATTATGAGAACACCGATGTGTATATTAATAAATTAATAATATGATGCTTTGAAAGAACCTCATTAGATACATGTAATGCTGGAAGGAAGATTCGAACTTGTGTGCACATAAAAGAGAACGTTATTCTAACTAGCCAACTTGTCTAAACTCAGGTCTGCTAATGTAGTTCATTATTGAGATTCCGCTAAAACCAGCTTTACGGATAAGCAAATGTGTTTCATAACCTTGCAATTTATACAAATTATAAAAAAATTATGTGATGACGAAATGTAGATCACCGTCAATCTAAAACTCTGTAAATTGCAAATCCTACTGTTTAGATAATATGCATGTTGAAATTTTCAGAAGTAATTATTATTTTGTAACTGAATGCAGGTTGGAGGGAAAGGTGGCTCTGATAACCGGAGGAGCCAGCGGCATTGGAGAATGCACAGCCAAAATCTTTGTCCAGCATGGGGCCAAAGTCGTCATTGCAGATGTCCAAGATGATCTGGGCCATTCAGTTCGCGAGTCCATCGGGCCATCGGACTGCACGTTCGTCCACTGTGATGTCACAGACGAATCCCAAATAAAAGATGCCGTACACAAAGCCGTTGCCACGTATGGAAAACTAGACATCATGTTCAACAACGCAGGCATAGTTGACCCAAACAAAGCCCGAATCATCGACAATGAAAAGGCAGATTTCGAGCGCGTGCTTAGCATAAATGTCACCGGAGTTTTCCTCGGCATAAAGCATGCTGCCCAAGCCATGATTCCTGCGCGGACGGGCAGCATAATTTCAACTGCTAGTATAAGTTCATATGTTGGTGGTGCAGCCTCACATGCATATTGTTGTTCCAAGCATGCAGTTAATGGCTTGACAAAAAATGCAGCCGTTGAGTTAGGTCAGTTCGGGATCCGAGTGAACTGCTTGTCGCCGTATGCGCTCGCAACGCCGTTGGCTCGGACTTTTGTGGGGGTTGACGATGAGGAGCTTGAGAATGTGATGGGATCTCTAGCCAACTTGAAGGGCGTGACACTTAAGGCAGTGGATGTGGCAAATGCAGCTCTATATTTGGCAAGTGATGAGGCTAGGTATATTAGTGGGCATAATCTCTTGATAGATGGGGGTTTCAGCATCCTTAATCCCTCTTTCAAAATGTTTCAGTACCCTCAAGAGCCTTGAACTTTTTTGTTTTTGGTTCTTCAAAAAAGGGATTAGTTGATGACTTCGTCATGGCAGTTTATCCTCCAAAGCTTTGATCCGTTCAGTTGCTATAGATTTTTTTTCTTTCTTTTTACACGTTTGAGTTGAATTACTTTTAATTGTTATAAGTTTATCCTTAAAAAAAAAAAAAAAAAGGTGGGGGGTTTTAAGTACCCCTATCGGAGTAGAAATATTCGGGTCTTCCAATAAGCAATCTTGTAATTGTGCGTTTTAGAAGGTTGTACATCATCTTCGTTTGCTACGAGTTTGAGTGAAGAAGAGTGATGAAAGAGACTTCCACGTTCAAGTTATTTTTTGATATCTATGTACATTTCCTAATATTTGATTGTTATTGTGATCCCTATATTTTGAAGTTGATTTTTTTTTTTTAACAAACGATATTATCTACACTAAGGGGAAAGGGGTGAGCTTAACCTCACAATAGGCTGACATGTAATAATGTGGCTGAAATTCACCTTTGGTGAGAATCGAACCTAAAACATCTCACTTACAAATGAAGAGGAATACTACTAGACTGTAGTATTAAGTGGTTAATCTTTATATTTTATCCCATCAACAATTTTTGTCCCTTGTAACTACTTTGACATTACTTTGTCGTGTTAGCATAGTGTGTCATTTGTATACATTAACCCAAATTGAACTGAAAGAATCAAAATTGTTAATACATTAAAACACAGGAATCAAATTGACCAAATTTAAAATATAGGAATAAGAAATCAAATCAACCGTATTATCGTCACCATCACAATCACTATTACTTTGTTGTGACCATCACCAGTACCATCATCCCTACCATCACCACTATCTTGCCACCGTCATTAGAAACATAATCACCACCACCGCCACCACCATCTTCCCACTACCTACCTCTAATACCGCCACCAATATTACACATGATGACCCACCACTATTTAAAAAAATTAAAACTTTGAAACTAGTGGAAATGCCCATTTTAGCAGCCGATTAAAAAAAATTGACATCTATGCAAATCTATTAAAAATCATATTAAGTCTCACAAACTCTCTCAAATTCCATATTAAGATCCAAATAAAAGTTACTCAATGCCCGTGTAACCATGCTTCTTGTGCAGTGTTTCTGGAGTGACATGAATCCATCCTTTAACTTCACTAGGCTTGATTGGCATGGTTTTGGATTATGCCCCCAACAATTGAGGTGAAGATGTTGAATTGAATGAGCCAAAAGTGACGATGGTATAGTTTGATTCCACCACATCATCAAGACCTAAGTCCATGACTTCTTCTTGGGCCAACTTCATGATGAGATCTTTCAACATGAAGCACATTTCAACCGAATGACTGATGACGCGGTGGTACTTACATTATCTTGGGTTGTCGGTGATTCATCTCTTTCGGCCGTTTGCACTCGGGTAAATCGATCATTTTTTTGTCGAGCAAGTCCTCTAACATGGAAACCACATCGAAGTCGGGGAATTGATAAGTATTCTCCTCAAGCTCCTTTAAAGCGCGTTTACGCCTCTCTTGGTCACAAAAAGCTTTGGTCCACTTCATCTTGTCTCGTGTAGAGATTTTAACGGGAGTTGTGTTGACCAACATCGCTTCCTTGACAGGCTCCCTCACAGATTTGTCCATTTTTTGCCCAAAGAATTTGTCTTTTCTGTAGTTAGCAATCGGGTCTTTCTTCCCATGATGTGTGATGCTTAACTCCATGTCATGGGTGCGAGTAGCTAACTCTTCGAAAGTCTAGGGCTTGATACCTTAAATAATGTAATGCAAGCCCTAATGCATGCCTTGTAAGCATATCTCAATCAAGGAGATTTTCGAGAGTCTGTCTTTGCAGTCGAGACTTAGAGTGCGCCATCTATTGATGTAGTCAACGACTGGCTCGTCCTTCTATTGCTTTGTACCTATGAGCTCCATCATGCTGACGGTGCGACGTGTGTTGTAAAAGCAGTTTAAGAACTCTCGCTCCAATTGTTCTTAATTGTTAATAGACTCGAGCTTTAGGTTAGTGTACCAATTAAAAGCATTCTCCTTTAGAGAACGGACAAACTGCTTTGCGAAGTAGTCTCCTTCAGTTCCTGCATTGTTGCAAGTCTTGACAAAATAGGCGACGTGCTACTTTGGGTTCCATTTTCTATCGAATTGGATGAACTTAGGTGGCTGGTACCCCATTGACATCCGTAAGTCATCAATCCGCCTGGTATATGGCTTCGAATACAACAGTGTATCCTGCGAAGTACCTCTTACATGTGCTTTGATGGTGTTCGCAATCATGCCTTGGAGCTGTTGGTAGGAAAAATAGCCCATCGATATAGCTTCAGTCTCTAGCTTTTGCTTGTTTCTGGCCTTGTTTGCATGACGCTTATCTTCCTTGCCAGACTCCTGGTCATTTTAATTTTTCCTTGGGTCTGGACCGACTATTTCATCATGTTGCGCCTCCAACTTATCCATAAGCGTAACAATCTGCAAGTTTTTTTCTTCGATAGTTCTGGTCAACCTTACGATCGTCTCATTCATCTAAGCCAGTTGTTCTTCAATGGAGGTGGGGCTAGTGGCTATGACTTGCGCAACCAAAGGATGTGACTCTCATCCACACATCAAATGTGATGGCGAAGTCTCCGTGCGACGGTTACTGGTTGGTGATCAGCGGTAGGCTCTCGTGCTTGAGTCTGCGTCTGAAGTTAGTAACAATAAGTGCTCACATGAACCTTCTGACACTAGCAAACCTTACTTGCCGCTCTGAGGTGTCTTCGTGTGTGCCACAATAGCATTCTTCGGTGGGCCCAACGAGGCATAGCTAATGTCGGGTTCGCACATCTAACGCTCCCCTTGCTCCCTTAACGACACCAACTTTGAAGTGGCATGTTGAAGAGTGGTAACCCGCCCTTGCCTTGCTTCGAGTTATGATGCCAATAGATTTTTCACTTGCGATAGAAGTGTTGGCGCTTCTTCCCTTGGTTGCGAGAACGACTTTTCTTTTATTTGATGCCATTGAGTTTGGAGTGTGCTTGGATTTCTTGAATTGAGAAAGAGATGAGAGCTGGAGATTATCCCTTTGGGCGTGCCAAATTTGTAAACATGAATATCTTGTAGCAAATGAAACAAGAACTCGTGTACAAAATAAATTTGAATTAATGTCAATTTAGGGTTACAATCTCTTTACAGCTTGATTGTTTGATTCGATATCCGAAATGTAAGGTATGTAGTGTTGTTGATCAAATGGTCACGATGACTTGATCTTGTATAAATAGATGCCGCAAGGTTTTGGCTCTCGGCAATGGAGTAACCTACACGTGTATGGGTGCTTAGTGGTTCTTCACGGGTTTTATGAAGAATGCAGACAGCTTTCCGAGTCTTCTTGAATGTTTGAGTGTTTGGGGGGTTTGAGTGGTTGAGAGCTTTAGAGTTTCAAAGCTTCAGCGTTTGGGCGTGAATGATTTTCTGAACCTTTTCCTTTGTCTTGGAGCCTCCTATTTATAAACTATCTAAGTCTTGACTACAGATGGATTTGACCTTGATTTGTGGCTTGGTTAATTGACGAAAGAACTAGGACTCGATTTAACTCCATCAATTAACATTTGATTTAATTAAATTAAAATCAAATCATTCATTTCCGCCAAGTGTTGACATGTGTCATTCTTGATGACTCGTCCGATTTTGTTGAGTCACACACCACATGTGTACAATTTTGTGCAAAACGTGGCGTATACGACGTATGCCCTGGCACGTCGAAGCTTTAATGCATTGGTGAACACTTATTTCATCGAAATTTTGATGTCTACATATATATATATATATATTAATTTCAGTAAAAAAGTATTCTACAATGAGAGAGAAAGTCAATCCTTCCATATTCATTGGTGAAGTCACCTACAAGACTCACGTGGGTTGTAGCCCAAGGAGGTTTTCTGTAAAGGTAGTGTTATCCATACACTCATTTTTACTTCTCACACATCCCTCTCAATTTTCGGCTATCTGATCAAATGAATTGAAGATGATCAATAAAAAAATTTAATAAGGGTCTGTAGGAGGTAAAATGAGTGTGTGAATAACACTATTTAATACATGTCATTATTTAATGTATATAAAGCAGAGGATAGGTAATAAATAATACGTTTTATGCTAAAATTATAAATTAGTTCCATCTCTCGTCCCCCTTTATCCTATTCGTAAAAGAAAAAGATCATTTATCCTACGTGATTTAGCCTTTGTGCTTCTTATTCAAGAAAATAAAAATAATATTTTTTTTAAATCCACAATTAGACCCCTATCTCTGCATTTTCTTACTTTCCTTTGCGATTTTCTAATGAATGTCACATTTGGTATACTCTTAATCTCTTTATTTACTTATTCTTGATTTAATTTGTAGGCAAACTATTTATATGGTCTTTGAATTTATCAGTTAGGGTTATGATTTTGAGAATAGTTTATATTATGTGTTGTTCTTTTATATTGATTATTATATAATTTTATATTAGCAAATATAATTTTATGATATTAATTTCAGCTAGCCCACCCAAGCAAAAAAAATCATGGCTCCGCCTTTGCATATTCATGCTTAGGGATTTGGATCCCACCCGGATCTAAATGTGAGGATCCTAGGGATTCTCACATCTTAACTATTCATCGTGCGGATAGAAATCATTTGATTTTTTATTATTTAAAATTAAACACAAATAGTACCTAACGAAAATTGACCGTATGATGTACAATGAACAACTAGAATGTGGGGATCCTAGGGATTCCCACAAAGTGAATCCAGAGAGGATCCTCCTCCCATGCTTAGTACTTTCTCTAGTTAATGCATTAATATACATAATTACCATATTACCCATTTTATTAATTGAATAATCAAATTTGCTTTATAAAGAGGGACATGCTTGTCTTTTCACCATCTGGTTGATAAGATTTCCTTGATAGCATTCTCTCACAAATTATCTAACTAGAGAAAGGTCATGTTGAAAAGTTTAAATTGGTACGGAAAGGTCTTGTTGAAGAGTTTAAAGTTGTCCTAATTAGTTTGGAATTGAAACTTTAAGTAAATGTTGATACTTAATTAGCACTCATAGTTAGATTAGAATTGTGTGTAAGTTTCCCACATATAAATACTTAGTATTCATATTTTTGTACTTCTCCGATGCGAGACTCTATGACAATCAAATATTTACTCTTCTTGGCTAGCAAACTTTACTTCTGATAGAAACGAAGCAAATGTATCTAGAGAAAAATTGGCTTCACATAAATATAGGAGTTTCGTTCGTGCCTATTTCTTAATGAAAAAGAATTTCTACGCTCTTGTTTTCTGCTTTTGCAGTCCATTTGTTTATATCCCTTAATCTCCTTTGATTGAAGTAATGGATAAAAGAAAAAGGGCAAAAAAAAAAAGGGAAAAGATGAGCGCACAAGGAGGAAAAAAGCAGAAATCATTTCCTTCCTTATTTGTTCAAGCTAGAGATTTATATATAGAAGCCGAGGCTTCTTATTAATTAGGCCATGGCTACATTTGAAAAATCACTTGAGAACATGATTCAATTTGGTCATAGGAAACGACGGCGTTCATTCATCCTAATAATTGAATAATCTGCTACATTATGTGACAATTGTGTGTAAAATAATAATGATGCGAAGAAGGAACTCCATGAACTACATAACACAAAGATGTTTGAACTTGAACGCATAAGAGGAGCAAATTGTTCCAATGAAGCCAAGATTTACTAATGCATGCAGTTGATGAATGTGATCTTGGGAACAATATCGGCAATATTGGTGGTGAATCAGGTTAGGCTTATAAAGCTTATCATAGTAAATGCTATTCTTTCTACACATCTTGGACTTGAGTTACTGGGCTTGAATCTGCTTCCTTAAATTGGGTTTTTGAAAAGTTTCACTATCTCCAGCTTAAAGTATTGGTTGAACGATTGGGTATTCCAAAAGATTGACATTGGCTCCAATGACTAGGGCTGGGTTCGGTTTTTTGCCAAAACCGAAACCAAACCGAAATTTCGGTTCGGTTCGGTTCGGCCCAAATTTTTTTCGGTTTTTTTTCGGTTCGGTTTCGGTTTTTTTCGGTTTTTTTTTTTTTTTTTTTCCTCCAAAAAATGCAAAACAACCACAACATTACTTGAGTTATATGCCAAGCATCCATTTCTTTATTTGGTTCACAGTGCCTAGTATTTGGGTCATTGTTCAAAGTAGCCTTTCCTTTATGGAAAACAAATACAAAGCCATTTCCATGCAAACAAATCCCATGAAATGGATTTTAATTATAAAACAGATTAGACTTTAGAACCAACTAAATTGTAAATTGTGGTTTATGAAAACAATGAAATTAAAGAAGCTCAACTCCCTACATGATACAATATTACAATTACAATCACACACCTTTTCTTGTTGGATTTGTGACCAAGTGGACAACAAGCCAAAATACCTTTCGGCTAATAAAATAGAAAAAAGGAAAAGGGAGACATCATTATGATGTCTAGCCCTTGATTTGTGGCTTTTACAAAAGCAAAGAAAGGTGGCCTTTTGTTTATATTAAGGCATTTGGTTATGCATTTGGAAAAGAGAGAGTGGGAACGGCAGATTAGAGAGAAGAAAGAGAAGGGTTGCTGTTATCTATCCTTCCCATTTTGTTTGTAATCCCCTTTTGTTAGTAATCACTCAATCAAAGATATTTGTGCTACATTTTGTGGCTTTTGGGAGAGAAGGAATTTGGTATATGTTTCATCTTCTCCATTTGTTCTTTGTGAGAGTGAGAGTTATTGGGTGTATGTGAGATTTGGGTTTGAGAGTTAAAACTCTATTTGTAATCTCCTTTTGATATTAGTGGAATTTCCTCGCCGTCTCGGAACTGGACGTAGGCTTACGCCGAACCAGTATAAATCCTTGTGTCTTTTGGATTATTTGTCTTGTCATATTTTGCCGTTGTAGTTTATTGGTTTCATATTTGACGCTTCCGCACAACATTTCTTCTCTCTCTCTCAATTAGCTTTAGGTAAATACATTTGTACTTAGCTCTATAATCTTCCTTTCCCACAATTACATGCAAGTAGGACGATGACTTAGATGGAACGAGTTCATAGTCATTAGTGATTTGGAACATTATAGTGTTGATGCAATTGTTCCATGAAAGTCTCTCTTCATGTATATAATAAAACACAAAAAAAAGTTGACCACCTAAATTGAGATTAACACTAATTAGTAATTATCATCAGCATACTTATTAATTAATTAACTCCACCAAGAAAAGCACCTGCCCTTGACACGAGAGTAGTCACCTCTCGACTGAAGCTCCACCGTTACCACCACCACTTGAACCACCACTCTTCCTACCACCACTCTTCCTACCACCACCGTTACCACCACCACCTGACAAAACATGAACACAACATGCAAGCACTTGAACACAAAATGATCGCAATCAATTCAACAATCCCTACAAACCATTTAAGTACAACCGCAGACTGGAGCCAATATGATAGCGGGTCATATATGTTGACGGAACCACCGAAATTGAAAAAAAAAATCTGCAAAACGCATCATGGGGTGAGAGACTAACCTTGCAAATGAGGGAATTTGTTGTGGGTCGAGACTTGAGCCTTGAAACGGCGAGAGGAAGTAGTGGTCGCAGGGGTGACAGATTCAGATTGAGAGTGAGACGGCGACGGCGAGTGAGAGGGATAAGAGAAAGGTCGCTCTGAGACGACGATGGCGAGTGAGAGACAGGTCGTTGAGATGGTGAGAGAGATTTGGAATGACACCGTTCAAGAGAGAAACAAAATCTATACAAAATCTGCAAAACCCATGAAATTAAAAACAAAATCTATACAACATGAGAGAAATTACCGTGCAAAGGAAGGAGGTCGTGGGTCGAGACTCGAAAAGGCGAGAGGAAGTCGCGGGTCACGGGGGGTGAGAGATTGAGAGTGAGACGGCGAGTCGGCGACACTTGCAAATCGACGAGATGTGAGACGGGTTGCAGGTCGCTGGGAGTGGGAAGGAAGAAGACGAAGAGCGGCGGAGCTGGGAGTGGGAAGGAGGGGATTCAGTCGTCCAGAAGACGAAGCTAGGGTTAAAGGGTTTTGTTGCAGGTTGCTGGGAGTGGGAAGGAAGAAGACGAAGAGCGGCGAAACTAGGAGTGGGAATGAAAAATTGAAGAGGTTCAACTAGTGGCTAGGGTTAAAGCGTTGATTTCTCATAAAAAATAAAAAGATTCTCCGAAATGGAGGCATAAGGGTTCGAACCCATGGCCCTAAGCTTCTAAAGTTTCCCTGAAACCAACTTGGCAACGAGTTCTATTTTGTTAGGATTGTATGACTAAACTATTTATAGATATTGAACAAAATAATTAAATATTTATATCGGTTCGGTTCGGTTTGACAGTTTCGGTTCGGTTTTTTTTCGGTTCGGTTTTTTTCGACCTCGGTCCGGTTTGGTTTTCGGTTTTTTTCGGTTTTCGGTTTTTTTAACCCACCCCTACCAATGACTGAATATTGAATGGGTCTTTGAAAAGATTTGTGTTAGCTCCAGTAACTGAATGCAGACTGATTAGACTCTTGAAATGATTAGCATTAGCTCAAGTATAATGACTTGACCAGCTCTTAATGTAGGAATTGGTTTCCCTAGCTGTTCCATATGGGGCCACTCATGAAGAGGCGTGTTGAAGAATAGGATCTCATATTAGAATACAATAAAATAATATACGATTAATATATAGGAGTTTCCACCCCTAATATCACCAAGGTCTTTTAAGATAAAACTCCACACCTAACAATAAGTGGTTAAATTGAAGACAATATCAATAATATTAATGGTCATGAACCGTTCTGGACCTTTAAAGTTAATCACACTACAAGTCTGACTCGAATTGTTTAATTTGCATGCACTGAGACAAAATAACAAAACATATTCGATCCACTAACAGACAGCCTTTTATGCATCTGCACTATCCTAATATTGTATCTGAATACTGCAACAAAAACTATAATATTTGAACTAAAAGTCACTCTGATTCTCCAAATGCAATTAATCTACCCCAAATTTAATATGCAGAAAATATAAAAAAATAAAATTCATCCCAAGGGTTGTCGACAATTAAGTCAAACCCATTATTTTTTAATCCTATGCAGGACAAAATGTGGTCCAGGAAAAAGAAAAAACAAATATAATCCTCCATACCCTGTGATCGTTGCCAGGCAATTTGATTTGCAATATCTCCTCATCTGGTAGTAATTGGGACGTTTCTGCTCGGCTTTTATCTCTGACTAAGTTTTTTCTTGTTTAAAGCAAACGTACTTAACCCTACGATTTGTATATACAATTGGAATCCTAAAATATAAAAAATGCAACCTAAGCATGAAAAGAAAGAACACTTCCAAACAAAATTTAAAAGCTTCAAACCCAGAATTTGTCTGTCACATGCATTCAAATCGGGTTGCGTTAACTTGTCGGCGACCTAACCAACATTTCTCACTCCATCCATGACTTCCGTTCTATTTATAGATGTACATCACATACACTGTTTGATTCATGCCTCAATAATCTCCATACATTTGCGTCAGTCACTAGAATTCTAAGATGATGAGCAGTTCTTCCTCACTAGTTCCGGTTCCGAGTCCCAAAAGGTACGCTTAGTTTTCGTACCGTTTCAACATCTAGAGTTCGAGCAGGTGTTTATAGGTTAAGTGGTTAATATATTACTGTTATAACCCTACACTTGAGGTCCAGAGCTCGAATCTCTAAGTTTTACATCTATTAACATACGTCTCATTTGTCGTCATTGATTTTGCAGGCTAGAAGGCAAAGTGGCAATTATCACTGGAGGTGCTAGTGGAATTGGAGAGAGCACTGCAAGATTGTTTGTCTTCCATGGTGCAAAAGTCATCATAGCCGACGTCCAAGATGAACTAGCTCTGTCCCTCTGCAAAGAACTCAACTCAGACGGAGAGTCCATTTCGTACATACGTTGCGATGTCACTATCGATTCGGATGTGAAAAATGTTGTAGACGTGGCTCTGTCAAAGTACGGAAAGCTTGACATCATGTACAACAATGCAGGCATATCCGGCAAATTGGACCCATCTATTTTGGGAGCTGATGCCGAGAACTTCAAGCAAGTGTTTGATGTGAACGTCTACGGAGCTTTCTTGGGCGCCAAGCATGCTGCTAGGGCAATGATCGCTGCTAAAAAAGGTGTCATTCTTTTCACTTCGAGCGTGGCATCAGCGAGTTGCGGCGAGTCTACGCACGCATACACCATGTCAAAGCACGCGGTGGTGGGACTTATGAAGAGCTTGTGTGTGGAGTTGGGGCAGCATGGGATTAGAGTCAATTGCATATCTCCGTGTGCCATGGCAACCCCGTTGCTGACGAATCTTATGGGGATTGAGAAAAATACGGTCGAGGAGTTGATCTGCGCTTCCGCGGTGTTGAAAGGAGCGGTGCCGAGGGCGGAGGATGTGGCGGAGGCTGCGGTGTACTTGGCGAGTGAGGAGTCTAAATTTGTGAACGGACTGAACCTTCTTGTGGATGGAGGTTATAGCACCACTAATCAGTCTCTTAGTATGGTTTTGAGGAATTTAATGTCCTCAAACCAGGCTTTGTAAGCATTATTCATTTCTTGTGCTACTACTATCTAGTCTGCTATGTTTTGATCCTTCGCGCTTTCTCTTTTTGAAGTATGAATCTTCATTTCAATACTCGTCATTCTCTCTTTTATGAAACACTGACCTAATGAGTTGTAACGAGTTAATTACACATGCACTCTTATGATTTAAGTGAAATATCAGTTTATAGTATCAATTTTTTTTTTTGGAGTGAAAATACGATATTCATTGAAAAGAGGGAAATGTACAATGCAAGATGAGGATAGGGTGCATAATTGAGCCTCAATAAAAACCTTGTTAGAGATTTTCACCCGGTCTAAGAGAAAAAGAGTGTCCGCACTTACAAACTTAATTAGAAGTAACTATCCTCATTGAAACGCTTAAATAATAGGACTAAAGGGAATCAACTATCTTGCACTAGCACATCCGCGAGTATATCAGGTGGGTGTTCCCGCCATTGCACCTCTAGTTGGTGACCAAGTCCAACACGAGCGAGCCTATGTGCTGCGTAGGGTATCAAACCTAACCTTTTGAAAATGTTATAATGAGACCTCAATTTGACGATTATAAGAGCTGTCTTATCATAGACTTTTAATTTGTTCGATTCACATGGATAACTAATAAATGTTTCAAAATCAAATTAACTTTTTTAAAAGCTGGTCGTCAGACGATGATGAAAATAATTAGTAAACGGTTCTGATTTTGACATTTGTATTCAGAAATGATCAATGTCACATTGTCGTTATAGGAGAAATGTCTCCTTGTATGTAAAGATTCAAGCAATATCCTTTCTTTTATTCAAAATTTCTTATGTAACATAAATTAATGAATGTAAAATAAATTGTTGTTTTTCTTGTTACAATATAATAGATGAAAGCCATAAATCATAAACCCTATAATCCAATAAGGGCATAAACCGCATTTGCTATAAAGCTTTCTATACAAACAGTAATTCTTGTCTGCAAAACTACCACACGCACCAAAACCCTAATACAAAAGACTAGTTCAACATAAAGATTTTCCAAGAAGCCATCTCGAAACGGTGGTATTCAATCTTCTTCTCTCTTAGTTCCTCATAGTTCTCACTGTAGATAGGACGAGTCTTTGTCGAACTGTTTAACTTGAGAAGAGAGACCAAAGATGTGTATATAGAGGTTAGTAATTGCTCCTCCTATCAAGGTAGCACTTACCATTAGTTTCCTAATCAAAATAAACTACATCTCTTTCTTTTAACAAACATGACGTTAGTGAGTTAAATTGTTAAGGGATCAGTGAGGATCGAAACTCTAACATGATACATATACATAATTGCTTTCCACCATTGCTAAAGTGTCATCTACAAATAAAATAAATAAAACTACCTCTTACTTCAAAACTTGAGTTCAAATAATTTCCTTCCATTATGATTAATTTAGATTTAATCCATACTAAGTCCAATAATAACAAGTGTCCATTACAGAGAAATTTTAAATATAAACATAAATAAAATGGAAGTCTTAAAATAGATATAATAACAATAGTTTTTTTACTTATCTGAAAACATATATATCACAACAATAGTTTTATCTAAACTCACATTACGAAGAGCCTAGCTTAATTAATTTTAACATAAGAAAAAGCTAGGGAAACTTTGTACCGTATTAGCTAATATATCATATGATGTGTCAAATGATGAGTACATATCACGTCAGTGAATGAATATGGTGTAACTATGTGGTCTCTCTAGTAATATTCTAATCTATATTCCCCACTCTCATCCACTTGATTGTTTGAGCCAGCTTTTGTACAAAGTATTTCTATTGATAAGTGCTTTTGTTAGAAGTAATATTTAGTTAAAAACATATTGAATTTTCTTTTTCCATTAAAAATCTAGGTATTTTTCCAGAATAAGCACTTGCTAGCCCCGATAGTTTATAGATTATGTTCCAGAAAAATAGTTTCTATAACCTAAGAGGAATGCTATTTATACCATATTTTTATACTATATTTCTATACCACCTTAGGTAACATCTGATGTGGGCAACCACATCATTTGAAAAATTTGCAAAACCCAAGGAAAGAAAGGAGAAAGACTCCTTGTATACCACAATCATCATTTAATTAACTAGTTTTTCTTAATTATTAGTTTATTAAATAATGAACTAAATTTAAAAATCTGATTAATTCAAATGAAGTGGCTGTCCACATCAAATGCCATCTAAGGTGGTATGAAAATGTGATACAAAAACATGGTATGAATAACATTACTCATAACCTAAAACATTTTTAAGTACAACATAATTAGAAAAGCTTTTGATTGTTAACAATTCCATTAGCAAATTCCAAATAATAGAATGATTTATATGGAATGGGTTAACTGCCAAATGAAATTTCGATCCAATACTGCATTACGATGTGTAAGTATTTTCCACAGAACAATGCATTATTTGATCGAAATGTCACGACAAAGTTTTTTCCCAAACAGACTCAATTTAACAAATAAAGCCCAGGGTTTTGACAATACAGTGGCCCAATTTCATCCCCAATTTCTGTACATTAGCCCAATAACCTCATAAACCCACCAACAGAGATCTCCTATAAATATCCCAAAACCCTAACTTCCCTTCCCTTACCCTCTTTTCGCCTCTCTCACGAACACACACACTCACCCGCCGTTCGTCTCCACCCAGCTCCGCCGCACAATTCCACCACCACCATGGGTCGCGTCCGTACAAAGACAGTGAAGAAATCCTCCCGCCAGGTGATCGAGCGCTACTACTCGCGCATGACCCTGGACTTCCACACCAACAAGAAGATCCTCGAGGAAGTCGCCATCATCCCCTCCAAGCGCCTCCGCAACAAGATTGCCGGATTCTCCACCCACCTCATGAAGCGGATCCAGAAGGGCCCGGTTCGTGGCATTTCGCTGAAGCTGCAGGAGGAGGAGCGCGAGCGCCGCATGGACTTTGTCCCCGAGGAGTCCGCCATCAAGATCGACGAGATCTCCGTGGACAAGGAGACCCTCGACATGCTCTCCGCTCTCGGTATGGCTGACATGCCTGGTGTCAAGCGGGTCGACCCGGAAGCTCAGACTCAGAATCTCGGGTACGGGCGTGGTGCACCCAGGAGGTACTAAAACGGAGAATGACCGGGTTTTGATGCTATAATACATTTGGTTTTTGAATTAGGAAGAAGTTTGTTGTGTGTTTAATTTTACTGTGGAAGTAATGCTTGTGACGTTTTTGTTATGGGATTATGTCAAATTTGCATTTAGAATGGAAAGCGTTGCATTTTATTGAATTCGTCAGATGAATCGTATTGGTGATGATTGTTGCTTCTTTCGGTTAATGTCACTGTTGCTTTCGGCTTCAAGATTATGATATGGTTTCGAATTTTATGGTCCTAGTTGGGAATGACTAGTTTGATCTCAGAAACAATGTTATGGCTTTGTTTCTGATCGTCGGAATTTGTAACCTTTTTGATTCCGATTTTGATGCTTATTGTCGATTTTTCATGCGTTATTCAGTCCATTCAGCATGTAAGCTGTAGTGATTTGTTCAATTTACTTACTAAAATGGTTAGTTTAATCGGTTAACACTATCAGTATCATTGTTGTATGCTTGGTTCAGTCATGTCTCTTGCTTCCACACCAGCGCCCGTTTTGCCTTTTTCTTCCCGTAAATACATAAGCAGTAGTGTCTTTGGTTTTTTACCATGTCCTCCTTGTTAACTGGGTTGTTATACCGTCCAAAGATTGTTGAATTAAAGTCCCGGAACCACTGCATTGTGGTCTTGTTGTCACGACGATGCCCACTTTGCTCCCCTCTCACCGATTCTTCTTGTCACTGTCATATGCTCCTCCTTGTTCGTAGGATAGTGAGATAGCCCCTCCCTGCCTTTAGACGAAAAATGCCCTCTTCTACATCCCCTTGACAAAATTTTCGGAAATGCGAAACTTGCCCTGTAACCTAGCGTTGCTGTTTGCTGCTTGGTGGTGATTTTGGAATCCATGACTCAATTCTATCCATTGAACAAAAGATGTATGGTTAAGATTTGTTGTCGGCGACTTAGCTTCAAAAGGTTATTAGGAAGATCGGTTTTTAATTTCGACTTGTTCGAATTCGTTATGCTGTTGCTTAATCCATCCCAAAACAAAACTCAACATCTTCCATGTAAAAGGAGCTTTGATGAAATGAGTGTCGCTTATGTTTTCCTCGTCCGAAAGGAACGAGGATATAGACAAGTAGAAATCGACAGCACCCGGTGGCTTGTAGCTCAATCACTGGTAAAAAGAGCCGCCAATATTACAGGACCAAATGAAATATACAGGGAAATCGCGATCATGAATTCGCACAGCATACACCACATCAAACACAAGCTGCCTCTTCAATCTACAAGCGTTTTCACCGCGAAGTTCTGGAGATACAAATTCTTTACTCACTTGAATTAGCAAGCCCAACCATGTTAAGCATATGGCGGTCTTCCTTAAATCTCTCCAGCACATTACCTTTTCCACCGGCGTGTTTTTCTTGTTCTGCTAATTTGGTAACAACTCCCCAGCATTCTATCACTTCCGGGTGTATCCGGTTGGTCTTGGAGAGGCAAGGGGAGCCAAATGTGGTACAGGAGAAAGTGTGCCCCTGATCAAAGCTGGCCGAAAGAAAAAGGCCAAAGTGATTCACCTTTCCTCCAAAACCGATACCATTCGGGATGCTCTCTGAACTGAAATTCACAGCACACTGCCGGCATACAAAACAAGAAGACTTCAAAACATCATAATCCGAAACAAAGTCGACTCATTTACGAAGCTGATCATCTGAATAAACAAGCTTTTACAATGTGATGCGGTTCGGTTGATTGACTCTAAACTGAAAGAAACTAAGACCCTAAGACATTCATCAACCAAATGGATGCTAAAATCTTATTAAAGAAACAAGTCTTCTATTTCGAGAGCAATATAAATTATAAGATCGAGTGGGAACTCACCCATTGTATGTTGGTGTTTGCCCCTGTTGGCCTGAATATTGACGCCTTCGGATACAGCTGGAAAAGAAAAGACTTCAGATCTCCATAGAAACCACCGTGCCTCTCCCATGGCTGGGAAGCGTAACCCCCATAAATATAACCATCTTTATCCTTGATGATTAACACAGTTGGTCCTTTATCATTTCTGCAGTTCATTGAACAATTACCCATTCCATCCCAAATTAGTTGCAGCAACCGACAAGACTGAAACTAAAGTAGCAAAAAAAAATGTATTTAGCATCTTATCTAAGACGGGAAAGTGGCAAAGTATAACCATTTAATGGAACACTTCCGTGGTCTTTATACATGATCTCCCCTTCAACCCAAGATAAACGAAACAAAACCAAAGTAGCGACTTGGTGCAGTCATATCACATTCTGTGGATGCGCATCTAAACCAAAACAGGCTACATTATACAGAATTTGTGCTTGTTGCCTATCTAACAAGGCACATCCATGAACACCCCCCCCCCCCCCCCCCGGGGGGCGCCGTTTGACTCTAAAAGCGTATCAAGAAATCTAGATCCTCGTTTTGAGAACAGTGATAAATTCACATTGCGACAAGGACATATTCAACTTCACAATAGAAATATAATTGACTTTTAAGAGATTCAAAATGAAATTTAAAATAAAAATAAAAATAACTGTGTAAACAAGATACTCACGACATGCTGCCCAAAAAGGTGTTAAAGCTCAGACCGCTAAAAGAACTGTGATATAGCAGTTTCCATTCCACCAGCTCTTGTTGTGGAAGGATTCCTCCTATATGCCAAGCATATACCTCCTTCAGTAACACCATATTTGAATCAATGTTTTCCACATGCATTAGTCGAGGAACATGGGAACCAGGTCTTCCTACAAAGAGCGGTGATGTCAAAAGTATTGGAAATACAAATCAAAATTCAGATTCCCAAACTAATTGGGATAACAGTTTATAATGTAAAACCAACAAATCCAGAGGATCAAAATGAAAGAATTCAGAAAACCTTGATGAGGAGGTATCAGTAAGCTTCCAAGGAACTTCCTGACAGATGGGAGAAGAGTACACCAAGTTCTGAAATCTTCAAGAGACAAACTTTCTTGATCATGTCCTTCGTCATGCTTAGAAAACTTTGCAGCATTAAGAAATACATCGACACTGCCCAGATGTGCACTTGATCCACGTTCAGGGTTGTCCATATTGAATATATTGTCAAACATTGCACCCAGAACACATTCCAAATCCGACCTGAATTTAAATTCCTAATATCATATACATCAGACAAAACATAAAAAGAATACAGAGACAGGTACTTCTTATCACATTATAAATAGAAATCACGAAACTCTTCCATCCTTACCGCAGCCACAACAAGAAGTAAATCCAAAGTCATGCAATAAACCATATGTTCTTATCTCTATTTACTTTAAATTATTGAAAGGGCTACTTGTACGTTTTTATTCAACGAATCTGAAGAAATATCACCCTGTGAACTTAAAGCAAACAAGAGTAATTAAACTCTATATTTCTATGAATTGCAAGCCAAAATAACAAGTATAACCCAAGTCATGTAATACGGCAATGCCATACTTTAAGATATCTGTTCTTATTTCTATGAACTTTAAATCATTCAAATGCTAGTTGCATTTATCTATTCCACAAAATTGAAGAAACTCACGGTGTGAATCTGACTAAAACTATACCAACAGAATCTAAACTACTGGACGCAACGACCGGTTCTGTAGGCAGGATATAACAAAACCACATGCTTCAACCAATTGCAATCAAAATATGAATCTATATTGTATATTCTCGATAATGTTGGAGTTCCAATCCTACCTTCCCACAATGCCATCCCCGGATACGTCTAACAACTGATATATGAATTCTTCAATGTCATCTTTCGTTCCCTTCTCATAAATCCCCTGAAAACCCACAAAAAGGGAAGCAAAATAAAGCAAATGGGCATATGATAAAACTCAAAAATACGAAACAAATATTGCAAAGTTCACAAGATTTTCAAGAAAAAAAAATTACTTTGGCAATAACTAAGTCTTCAAAGGTGAGCTTTCCGTCTTTGCGTTGCTGGGTAACTAAGTCGAACATCCTATCTCCGAGAGCTCCCTTTAGTCCGAAATAAGTCTGCAAAAACACAAACTCTATATCTAAGTACAGAGGAAAGATCATTTTACAGCAAAAGAAATGGAATTTCCATGAAAATTGGAAGAGCCGAAGACATGGGTGAAGCTAATTTACCTTGAAAACTGAGGGGGAGATGTACGGACCACCGCTCTGCGACTGAGCAGCCAGAGACGCGTGCAAGGATTTGAGATCTTCGAGTTCCGTATGAGTAAAAGCTCTGCAATCAGTTCCAAATCAATCAATCAAATATATATATATATATATATAATGTATATGCAGATAATTAGAGAGAGAGAGAGAGAGACCTAGAGGAGGAAGCAAAGCGAGGATTGCGAGAAGGAGGTGACTGAGAGTTCCCCATTTTTTTATGGTTTTCTTCTTCCCTCTGCAGTGTGGACTCTGAAAAAATCTAGATTGATATTTATACTTTTTCATGGCAATTTTTTTGAAGTAGGTGCTTGTAATTTACTAATATGTTCAAACTCCCCCAAACATTTTGGTAATTACATGTATCTCATAAGAACTTGGGATTCATTAGCTTTCTACTCAACTTTGCTTAATATTAGTTGTTAATTTTGTTTAATTTATTCAATTCGGTACGAAGAAGTGTGTGAAAATTAAAAAACAGTCTATAAAAATCACTTATCAAGAAAAAAGAATCATTTTGCCCCTTTCAAAATTTTCTTTTCCTTTTTTACAATTTTAGAGTTCAAATTTGAGATATCATCTCATTTTGTGTTTTTTCTGTAGACCATTAAAAATTTCTAACAAATATAATTTACGAGTAATTACAGGTGGGATTTATTTTACATCAATGTTGTACACTTGTACTCAATTTGGAAGTGAAAAAATTCAGACTTTTTCAATTGATTTGGAGGAAAAAAAACTACATACAAGTATCAAGGTCATTCTCAATAAGTAATGACCTCATGATGATATGGAAGTCATAGGATTACATCATGAAAAAAAAATTATTTTTTGGAGTTGACAAAATCATCAAGATTTCTTATTCCTTTACCATTTTCTCTTCAACTCTTTTTTTGGTACGTGTCCTTTAAGAATTATTTTGTGTCGGCAAGGAATCAATATCTAAAGAACATTTAGCCTTTTTTAATTGCAAGGATAAAATAAAAAAAATTAAAAATTGTGAGAATTTGAGCTTTGAGGTGCTAAATTCAAAGCGTTTACAAACTTGAGGGACCGAATTGCAGAAAATGGAGACTGTAAAGTTAATCACAACCGAAGTGGAAGGAAAACCAAATTAAAGAGAAAGGAGAGGTTTGTACGCAAGTTTAGTGAAGGAATTTATACTCAGAGCCTCAAGGACCCAACCAAAAAATCCACACTTTATTATAGCAAAAGCCAAAAGCCAAAAGCCAAAAGCCAAAACGCAAAACCCATCTGGATTTTCTTCTAAACTTCAAGCTGTTCAACAGCAACTGAGATAAGCCCTTCTTCTTCTTCAACTCAGATCTGTAAGTTCCATGCTTTTCTCTTTCACTGATTTTTTAAGCTTTATTAGTAGTATCTTGGATTGGGGTAACGGGGTTCTTCTTTCTTGCTTCTTAGGCCGTGTTTGGTTGTTGAGAAAATTGTAGGAAACAGAAAATTAACTGCAAAGTTTCTTCCTTTTTTTCCCCTTTCATATATTGTGTTTAGTACTTGTATTGCTATTGGTTTTTGTGTTACTGTGTATTTAAGGTAAAATGCTTGAGATTTAGGCACCATTTTTTGGGGGGGTTGTATTGTCAGCAACCAAAAAAAGCAGATATTGCAGCATTCAGATGTTAGGAAAGGAAGCCATTTTTCTTTTGTTGTTGTTGTTTTTGTTCTTTTTCTCATGCTCCCATGGAAAAAAAATATATACCCATCTTTAAGTCCAGAAATACTTATGTAATATAGAAATTTAAATCTTCACAAACTCAGTTATGAAACATGATTAAAATGTCGTACTCAGTGCACAAGGCTCCCGCTTTACACAGGGTCTGGAGAGGTGAGTTATGAAACATGATTACATAAAATAAATGTAGAAGGATAAATGAAGACAAAGTTCTTGCTAATGGTTATCGGTGTCCAACCGAACTATAAAATGAGATCATGCTGTCAAATTAAATAATTTCTCACTCTTTTTTGTGAATTGTAAGTTCCTTTCATTCATGAAATATTTGATATGCTAATTTTGGAAATGTATACCAGATTTCGGTGAGCGCTGCATCTGAGTCTGTGACAATGTCCAGACCATGGGTGTTGGTTTGTCTGCTCCTGTTAATTGTGTTTACATCACAGTTTGAATGGAAGCAATATGGGAATGATGAACCAAGTCCAAGTACCTCCAAGAAACAACAATATATATCTGAAAGGGAAGAAGCCGTGAAAGAAAAAGTGAGTGCTAATTTTGGAAATGTATAGCATACGGATTCTTTTCTTTGCCTACCCTATCGTGTGATTTTGAGTTGGAAATCTGTAGTTATTTACTTTCACAAGTGTTAGTTTGAACAATATACATGTATTTCAATTATTTAATGTTGTTACTTGGGGGAATAGAAGACAAATTAGTAATGAATAGGCTATTCTGGTCTTCAAATTCAGAAATTTATGCAGCGAGCCTTTGAGATTAAGACTTAAGCTGTCAACATACCTGAGTTTTGGGTCATTTTTTTGCTTCATTCGGGACTTAAGTTCTAACTTTTAATAGCAGTTAATATAACAAACTCATATCTCCACATCGCCCTGTATACATAATGATACCCTTGCTTTGATTCTTGTCCAGAGAGAGTAAGTGTTCTATGACAATGCATGAACGATCTAGATAAAAATTCTGTAGTTGATGCCACGGCCCCTAATAATTGGCTTCTTCCGTTAATGACCTCTATATCTGAAGTGTTTGCCTAATGGTGAGGAGAAGGATAAATATTATGTGCCTACAAGAAACTAAGTGGGTTGGTCTTAAGGCAAAGGATCTAGAAAACTCAGGGTTTAAACTTTGGTATTCGGGCACAAATAGAACAAGAAACGGTGTTGGCATCATCGTGGACAAGACCTTGACACAAGATGTTGTAGATGTCAAGAGGGTAGGAGATAGAATCATGGCAATCAAGATTGTAATAGGACAAGAACTCATCCATGTGATTAGTGCGTACGCACCTCAAGTAGGGTTGGATACAAGTTCGAAGGAGAAATTTTGGGAAGACCTTGAAGACTTGGTGCAAGGAATTGCTCAAACGGAGAAGTTATTTATAGGAGGAGATTTAAATGGACACGTGGGCAAGGAGACATTCAACTATGGAGGTTTTCATGGTGGCCATGGTTTTGGGGAGAGAAACGAGGATGGGGAAGCTATCTTGGATTTTGTAATGACATATGATCTCTTCTTAGCCAACTCCTTCTTTAAAAAGAGAGAAGAACATGTGATCACCTACAAGAGTGAGTCGTCAAAAACACAAATAGATTTTCTTCTAATGAGGAAAGGGGATCGTATAACTTGTAAGGATTGCAAAGTTATACCGGGAGAGAGCTTGGCTAATCAACATCGCTTATTGGTGATGGATGTACATATCAAAAGAGTGACAAAAAAGAACAAGACTTGGAAGTGCCCAAGGACTAGATGGTGGAATCTAAAAGGAGAAAAACAAGCAATTTTCAAAGAGAAAGTAATCATCCAGTGTGTGTGGGATAGAGAGGGGGAAGCTAGCCAAAGGTGGGATTCCATGGCTAGTTGTATCTGAAAAGTAGCAAAAGAGGTATTAGGAGAGTCCAAGGGCTTTGCTCCACACCAAAAGGAATCTTGGTGGTGGAATGAGGAGGTACAAACAAAGGTGAAGGCTAAGAAGGAATGTTGTAAAGCCTTATACAAGGATAGGACCGATGAAAATGGTGAAAGGTATAGAAGAGTGAAGCAAGAGGCGAAGAAAGCTGTGAGAGAAGCTAAGTTAGTGGCTTATGACGATATGTATAAGCGACTAGATACCAAAGAAGGAGTTTGATATCTATAAACTAGCTAGAGCAAGGGAAAAGAAGACAAGGGACCTAAACCAAGTGAGGTGCATCAAGGATGAGGATGGAAAGGTTTTTGCTACAAAGAACACGGTCAAAGACAGATGGAGATGTTATTTTCATAATCTTTTCAATGAAGGACATGAAATGAGTACTTCTTTAGGGGAGTTGAGTAACTCAGAAGAGTGTAGAAACTACTCCTTTTATCGTCGAATCATAAAGGAAGAAGTGGTTGTAGCTTTGAAGAAGATGAAGCACAGAAAAGCAGTGGGCCCAGATGATATACCGATCGAAGTGTGGAAAGTCTTGGGAGAGACAGGTATAGCATGGCTCATTGACCTTTTCAATAGGATTTTGAAAACAAAGAAGATGCCAAGTGAGTGGCGAAAGAGCACTTTGGTGCCTATCTACAAGAATAAGGGCGACGTACAAAATTGCATGAACTATAGGGGTATTAAGCTAATGAGTCATACAATGAAGCTCTAGAAGAGTCATTGAGCATAGATTGAGGCAAGAGACACGGATTTCGGACAACCAATTCGGGTTCATGCCAGGGCGCTTAACCATGGAGGCAATCTATCTCTTACGAAGATTGATGGAAAGATATAGAGAGGGGAAAAAGGATTTACACATGGTCTTTATAGATTTGGAAAAAGCGTATGATAGGGTCCCAAGAAACATTCTCTGGAGGATTTTGGAGAAGAAAGGAGTATGAGTAGCATATATCCAAGCTATAAAGGATATGTATGAAGGAGCAAAGACTACCGTAAGAACTCATGAAGGACAAACCGAAAGCTTCCCTATAATTGTAGGTTTACATCAAGGCTCATTCTTAAGTCCTTATCTTTTTGCGTTGGTAATGGATGAGTTAACATGACATATTCAAGATGATATTCCTTGGTGTATGCTTTTCGCAGACGATATAGTGTTAATAGATGAAACTCAGGAAGGGGTAAATGTGAAGCTTAACCTTTGGAAAGAAGTGTTGGAATCTAAAGGTCTTCTCCTAAGCCGATCAAAGACAGAATATATGGAGTGCAAGTTCAGTGCAAATGGAGGCCAAAATGAGTTAAGGGTGAGGATCGGAGATCAGGAAATACCAAAGAGCGACTGCTTTCGCTACCTATGATCTATCTTGCAAAAGAACGGAGAATTAGATGGAGATCTCAACCATAGAATACAAGCTGGATGGATGAAGTGGAAGAGTGCATCCGGCGTGTTGTGTGACGGCCGTATGCCACTGAAGTTCAAGGGAAAATTTTATAGGACGGCAATAAGGCCGGCGATGCTGTATGGCACAGACTGTTGGGCGGTGAAGCATCAACACGTACACAAAATGGGTGTAGCGAAGATGAGGATGCTTCGTTGGATGTATGGGCACACGAGAAAGGATAAGATTAGGAATGAGGATATCCGAGGTAAAGTAGGAGTAGCCGAAATTGTAGGAAAGCTAAGAGAAAATCAGTTACGGTGGTTTGGACATGTGCAAAGAAGGCCTACTGACGCTCCGGTTAGGAGATGCGACTACGGGATAGAGGTTCAGGGCCGAAGTGGTAGAGGAAGACCTAGGAAAACTTTGGAAGAGACTCTAAGAAAAGACTTAGAGTACTTAGATTAATGGAGGACATGACACATGACCGAGCACAATGGCGTTCTAAGATTCATATAGCCGACCCAACTTAGTGACTTGGATTTTCAAGTCTCCAACCGAGAAGTTTTCTTCACTCGAGAAATTAAGGGAACACTACCTCAACCTACATGCTTCATTCACAAAGCTTCAATATATAAGCTTCAACAAAAGAAAAATTCAAAGAACTTAATGAAGAAGGCTTTGGTGTATTTAACACAATACGTTGAAATGAAGCAAAGCTTATTTATTGATATCTCCGATAAGTTACAAATATTTACATATACACGAGTCAAAATAAACAAACAAAAGGGGACCTTCACAAAGGTTGCTTAGGAGAAGTCTCAGCAGTCAGTAGAGCCCCAGAAAGAGAAGACACCGGAGGGTGATCACTCGGAGCCTCAGTACTGGACAGAACCCTAGAAGGAAGAGGCATCGGAGGCTGATCATTTGGAGCTTCATTACGCGGTACAGCCCCAGAAGACAAAGGTAATAAATGCCTTTGGAACAAACCCACAAACCTCTGATGATCAAGTAAATTGACCATCAAATTCCTTCATCTGGTCAAGCTTCCTCTTCATGTTTGTAGCATAGTCATGTGCGAGCCTGTGCAACTGTTTATTCTCATGCTTGAGCCCTCTAATCTCCTGCTTGAGACTCATCACTTCAGCCGCCAATGATTCAACTTGGCTGGTTCGAGCAAATAGGCGTTGAGCCATATTTGACACAGAACGTGCACATTGAATACTGAGAGCCAGAGAATCCTTAACAGCCAACTCATCAAACCATTTGGAAAGAAGTCTGTTATCTTTGGGAGTGAGAATGTTCCTGGCCACCACCGCAACGGTCATATCATTCTTCATCACGGAATCCCCAACGGTAAGAGGACCAGTAGGGGATAAGAAGGATGGGCGCCATATGTTGTCTGGAGAAGGCGCGGCTGCTTCTTCACCAAGGTTCAAGTCAAAACGACGGTTGAAAGGGCCAGACATTTTCAAAGGTGTTGAAGAGAGAAGAGGTCGGACAAATCAAGATCTTAGAAGTGCAAGAAGGGAGCTTCTACTGATGGAGATTCAAGTGTGCTTTGGAACTTAATGCCAGCCTCTATAAAAATCTGCACTTGACGGAGCTTTAGAAATTGAATAGGCGTCTGCTCAGAAATTGAAGAGGCGCTTGCTTTCTCAAAAGCTGGGCTGCTCAGAGACCACGAGGGCCGATCTCAGAGATCGAAGAGGCGTTTGCTTTCTCAAAAGTTGGGCTGCTCAAAGACCACGAGGGCCGATCTCAAAAATCGAAGAGGTGCTTGCTTTCTCAAAAGCTGGGCTGCTCAGAGACCACGAGGGCCGATCTCAGAAATCGAAGAGGCACCTGCTTTCTCAGCCTTGTCAGCACCTATCACATGCACACTCAGCTTTGCGGAAATTACGGGCAATTTGTCGAAGATTTCTGGTGAAGTAGAAACCACGTGAATCTTACTGTTCAATCATTCACTTTCCACACGCAACATCAGCTCATGGGTACCATAGATAACTTTGCCAAAGATCTCTGACAAAGTTTAGACACGTGAAGCTTTCAGCTCACACTACATCGCTATGACCAAGAAGGGTAAAAGAATAGCAAAGAAACAACACTAACAAAGTTTAGACATATAAATTTTGAAGGTTTAGCTACCATATTATTACCCACAAAGGTAAAGGAACAGCACCACTGCTGGATAATTGGAAAGTCCCTGTGTGTCAACCTCTGTGCTCTGTGGCAAGGTAGACTAGCAAAATACCCAACCTTTATTCACATTCGAGAAAACACTCCCAACAAGATTGCTTGCTCCAAAATCGAAGAGGCATCGCCTTTCGAATCTCGAGAGTCAGACTCCCAACAGGATTACTTTCTCAAAAATCGAAGAGACACCGCTCTCCGAATTTCAAGAGCCAGACTCCCAGCAGGATTGCTTTTTCAAAATCGAAGAGGCACCGTTCTCCGAATCTCAAGAGCCATATCCTTGACAGGATCGCTTGTTTGAAAACCGAAGAGGCATCATTTTCTCAACTTCGAGAGCCAGATCTCCTTAGATAAAGCTTGTCTGTAATCCTCACACGCAACATCAGCTTTCCAGATACCACAGACCACATGAAGCTGGCAGCTCCCACTACAGTGCTATGACCAAGAAGGGTAAATGAATAGCATTACTACTTGTTGTTAGGGAGACTCCTATATATGTCGACCTCCATCCTCAACGGACAGGCAGACTTGCAAAAATGCTCAACCCTTCTTCATATCTGAGAGGGCACTCCCAACGAAGCCTCTCGAAATACTCAACTTTCTTTCCCCCCGATAATACCTCGGCAAACAAGCTACACTAGAGCAAGAATATCTCATATCATCAGGGTTAAAAGCAAGAGTATCCCATATCATGCTTTTTCCCTGTCTTTTCCTTTGGCCTTGTTCTTACCTGCATGACAAGGAGAAAGAGAGCAATCAGTCAACACTTGGAATCAAGCTTCCAGTCAGGAACTGGCTGCCTGGAACCCCTTACCTGATTACTTACCTGGCGTTGCTCTCGAGTACTCATCTTCAACATCTTATGCTTCCAGAGAAGATACCACATCTGCCTGAGGAACAGATAGGGCAAGGGAGAAAGATACAAGGAAGCATGTGGAGACAAGCGTAACAGAACATGTGCCGATACTTCCACTACTTTGTCAACAGCAAAAGTATCCCATATCAGCAGGGTCGAACGTACTCTAGATTTGATGGACTTGTTTTGACCCTCAAATTCTTCAGTCGGCCTTATACTCTGGAGGTAACCAGAAAACCCTCCAGCCCAGTTCAAGAATAAGCTTGTGGAAAGTTATTTCTTCAAAAGCAAAAGTATCTCATATCATCTCTTCTCCTTTTCTTCTCTTTATCATTCATGCTGCCTACAAGATAAGGAGAATGAGAACTATCAGCCGGAACTCGAAATCAAACTTCTCATCTGGGACTGGTTGCTTGGAGCTCTGATTGCTTACCTTGTCTGTCACCTCTTTCAGCAGATCCCCTAGCTCGGCGACTTGGGGGACTCATACTACATGGTTTGTATCGCGCTTGACCAAGCCTGAAACTACAAGTAAGCTTCAAGTGAAATTGATACATTACCTTGTGCATCTTCACCAGTTAAAGATACCACCCCTGGACGGAGGAAGAGTACTTCCAGAGAAGATGCCACATCTACCTATGAGACAGATAAGGCAAGTGAAGACGATACCACACTTCGGTATACCACACTTCGGTACTTAGAAGTTCCGTGATTACTCAGCAGCTTGGATCTTGCAAGTTCCCAACTGAGGAGCTTCCCCTCCAACCTGGAGGCCAATCACAGAGCGACATGTGTCGACATCAGAAGCCAATCATAACGGGACACATGTCAACATTGGAGGACACGTGTCAACCTCGGAAGCCAATCACAACAAGACACGTGTCAATATCAGAACAAGGCTAGAAACTCTCTTCTATAAAAGGAGATCATTCTTCCAAAATATTTCCTAATGCCATTTGTACTAAATCATTCACTTGTACCTACTAAAAGAGAGCTTGAACCTATGTACTTGTGTAAACCCTTCACAATTAATGAGAACTCCTCTACTCCGTGGACGTAGCCAATCTGAGTGAACCACGTACATCTTGTGTTTGCTCTCCTGTCTCTATCCTTTTACATACTTATCCACACTAATGATCGGAGCAATCTAGCGAAGGTCACAAACTTAATACTTTCTGTTGTACCAAAGTCCTCACTGATTTTGTGCATCAACAATCCTTAAGTCCTTACCTTTTTGCCTTGGTAATGGATGAGTTAACAGGACATATTCAAGATGTTATTCCTTGGTGTATGCTTTTCGCAGACGATATAGGGTTGATAGATGAAACTCAGGAAAGGGTAAATGCGAAACTTAACCTTTGGAGAGAAGTGTTGGAATCTAAAGGTCTTCGCCTAAGCCGATCAAAGACAGAATATATGGAATACAAGCAGGATGGATGAAGTGGAAGAGTGCATTTGGCGTGTTGTGTAACCGTCGTATGCCACTGAAGCTCAAGGGAAAATTTTATAGGATGGCATAAGGTCGGCGATGCTATATGGCACAGAATGTTGGGCGGTGAAGCATCAACACGTACACAAAATGGGTGTAGCGGAGATGAAGATGCTTCGTTGGAGGTGTGGGCTCACGAGAAAGGATAAGATTAGGAATGAGTAGGTTGGACATGTGCAAAGAAGGCCTACTGACGCTCCAGTTCGAAGGTGGGACTACGGGATAGAGGTTCAGGGCCGAAGGGGTAGAGGAAGACCTAGGAAAACTTTGGAAGAGACCTTAAGAAAAGACTTAAGAGTACTTGGATCGAACGGAGGACATGACACAAAACCAAGCGCAATGACGTTCTAGGATTCACATAGCCAACCCCACTTAGTGGGAAAAGGCTTTGTTGTTGTTGTTGTTGTTGTGGGGTTTGAATTTGTGTAGCGAGAAGGAAATATGCAGGATTATATACCTTTGTTTTTATCTAGTTTCCTTCTATGCAGAATGCTTCTCCAATTGGCACAACTTTGTCTATAAATTTAGACTGCATATTCAGAATTAGAAAAACCTCTTGCTTATGCCTGGCTCACAACCAATTGAGAGATTGAGAGGGAGGGTGGGACACCCGATGAGGAAGAACAGTATAATGTTTTATATTCCCTTTTATGGACTATATTTACAAACACCAAAAAAGATGGGAAAGAACTTAATGAGAGAGAGAATTTACCCAGTTGCAAACTAACAGTGCTATAGGCCGCATAATCAAGGCATTCATGTAACCCCATTATGAGTTATCTGATTAGGCCCTTTTTGAATTTTGTTGCATAAGTACTTCAAAGGCTAATTTTCACATTGGATATTCTAAGTTTATCTTAGCTTACACAATTTACTACTTATGAGTTATGTGATAATGTATTATTCAGTTACCTGCATCTTATATACCTGCGGTAGCATAATGGCCTAATTCTACAAATTATGGTGGGCTGCAACTGGTAGATAAGTTCATTAACCTCACTGAATATCATCTTCACTGCAGATTATCCTCTCCCAAGAGAAAAATATACAAAAACTTAATGAGCTTGTGCGGAGTCTTCGAGAACAATTGCTACAATGTAGAGGTGAAAATGAGATTGTCAATAGCACTTCAGCTCCTTTGACTGAACTTCTTTCTGAACTGGAAAGGCATCCACTTTTGGAGGATTAATGATGGATCATACATATTAAACATCAATATGCTTGTACCTGTAGGTAGGAAAATCTAAATTCTTTTTTATTGCTTAGCATCATGTGAAATTACATTTGTTTAGTTGCGAAGTGCAATATCAGAACTCTTCATCTTTTGCCAGTATGTTATGGATATATAAAGTTTGTATATTGGTGAATTTTGAGTAAAATGGTTTGGTGGCATGAAATGAAAACCAAGGAGGAAAACTAATGAAAAGGACTTGAAAACTTTGAGTTTTAATGATAAAGACAAAATAAAGAGTAAAGTGAATAGTACCAGGATTGACTTTTTAGTGTAAAAATGTGGTTTTTTGTTAAAGTGAACCGTACCTAGAGCTTTTCGTTAAAGTTCCCAAACCAAGGTTCAATAATTTTGGAGGAACATAACCAATAAATGCAGAGAAATATTTATCCTAAAAGCATCATGTTAGTACTTATTACCTATTATTTCAACATCCTAACACCAAACACAGTGATTAGAACTTCCTAGACACTGTACGCTGGGATTGCCTATTGTCCACCCCTTTAGTATTCCTGGTGAATCAGTTCTCATTCGGCTTACCAAACTTAAACATGAACCAACCCCTCGGTTTCAGTCATGGACTACAATGCTCGTCTAATGATTAATTAAGTTTCTGCATTGAGTTAATATTCCCTAACGGGTTATCATTGAGGAGACCCCCAATGGTATATTTGTTGGGCTGAACCTTTTTAACAGTCATGCTAAGTATCATGAACATTCTTAATTAGCTATTATCCTTTTATATTCTCATGAAATTTGTCATCTCAATATTAAACTGTTGTTACGTTGGGGCAGAGGCATTTAAACTGTTGTTAATTTATTTTCTCATGAAATGGTAAGTGTTCATAAGTGTACTCAGTAAAAGAGTGAAGTTGGTGCAGGGTTCCTCCTTGCTGTCATCGTCTCATGTTTGAACTCCAAAACTTTTTATGAAGAAACCTGTGTTGAGATTCATGTTTGGATTTAATATTTAGATGAACTTTATTACAATGCCTGACACTTCAATTTATGATTTTTGCGAAGAGGCATTTAATTGCAACAGTGTTTTAATTTTTAGTACCATTTTCTGGAATCACCATTATTGTGATCTTGGTACCCTGTCTGTCTTACCTTTACTTTTCCCTCTCCTTCACATGTCTATGATCATCCCAGATGGTTCTTTTTTCCGTTCTTACTATTGTAGTTTGTACTGTGAGAAGATTTCAGGCTAGTGTTTTACTTCTATCCCGGTCTCTCGAATTAATTCCTCACCCCATAATATTTAGTAGTTACTGTGAAAATGGTCCCAATTTCTTGCAAGTTGGTAATAAAATTTAACATGAAGCCTTCTCTGCTGCTGATTCAAAGTTTGTAGTATTGTATTTTTGATAGGAGGGCAAGCCTTTTATATTGTTCCAATTAGTCCACAATATTTCCCCCTGTATTATAAGGGTGATACAAAAAGGTCTATTTTAGCATCGAAACAATAGTTACCGCATTCATCTTTTTTTTTAATCTATCCGCATTCATTTAGACTGCTAGGAAAGTGGGACTCTCTGGGAATTTCTTCAGTTGCATAATCAGAGACAGATTAGTGCCATCATATTAGGGTTTACCAATGTAAATGAAGCAACTGTATATAAACCAAGGGGAGGAAACAAAAGACTAAACCATTTCCTTACTATAGATTAAAGGAGATATAAGAAGAACTAATCAAGAGCTTTTGTAGTAATCTCATCTACTTAATTGAAATTGTTTCTGAGGTCCTATTTTCTATGGAAGTTATCTGCACAACTGCGTACAAAGAATTCAATCTTTTAATGAAATTCTTTCTGAGCTTGAAAGGCAACCTCTGGAGGATAAGTCATGGATCATACATGTTAATTTCAGCATGTTTGTATCTGCAAGTAGGGAATCCAAATTCCCTTTTATTGTTTAGCTTCATGTGAAATTACATCCATTTGGTTGCAAATCACATTACCAAATTCTTATCTCGTCTTTTGCCAGCATGCTATGGATATTTACTTTTTTGTGGTTTGCTGTTTTACGTTTCTGGTTCATTTGAGTCTTCTCTAGTAGTCAATAGTAGAAAACTGATTCGGTATTTGATGTCTGGGTAAACTGGTGAATCAATAGTATGGCCTTGGTTGTATCTTTGTAATATTTCTGAATAATTTGTGTTGTAAAAGTATCATGTTATAACTTATTATTACCTATTACTTAAACATAATATCTAACACTGGGATTACTTTAGAAAATTTTGTAGACGCTTAGTCCGAGATTGTCTGTTGTCCAGCCCTTCAGTGAATCTTGTAAATTGATTGGTTTCTACAGCTTACCAAACTTAAACATGAACCAATACCTTGGCTGGAGTTCTGAGCTAGAAATCTTGTCTTATGATTTATTAAGTTATAGCTGCCGATAGGATGGTTATTCAGGAGATCCCAGTGGGAAGTGTTCATAAGTGTGTGAAGTTGGTGCAGGATTGTCCCTTGCAGCTTTCGTCTTGAAGTTCATTGTTGGCAAGTCCTTCAAAAATTATTGTGAAGAAACCTTCTGAGATTCATGTTTGGATTTAAAATTCAGATGAACAGACGTTGTTGTATAACCACTCATCGGGCTGATGAGTTGTAGGAGGTACATTTTGATCTGAACTTGATTACAATGTCTGACGCTTCAATTTATGATTTTGGTGAATAGGCTTTTGAAAGTGTTTTTAACTGTTTAGTACTATTTCTGGAAACACCATTATTGTATTTTCAGTAGCCATTCTTACCTACATTTTTCTTCCATTTCTTTCACATGTCTACGATCATACCAGATGCACTTCTGTATGCTTTTCCATTCCTACTGTTGTACTTTTTACCTTTGAGAAGACCAAGGCTGGCGATTTACTTCTCTTTCCGTCTCTCCGATTTACTTCCTCAACCTATCTTATCTAGTATTGTTATAAGATGGTCCCAGTTTTTCACAAGTTGTACTGAAACTTTAACATGAGTCCTTCTCTGCTGCTGATTCAGAGTTTGTAGTTTTTGTATTTTTTTTATAGGAGGGGCAAGCCTTTTACATTATTCCAATCTATTTTTCGCATTATATTCATAGTTAGCGCATTCATCATAGTAAGTAGCTCCAGCTCCGCATCAAAGTCACGGTCATCATGGTTCTTGAATACAATTTGAGGCCTTCTTTGATGCTCTACTGTGAAGTTAGCGTTATGTCACAGTATATTGCACAGTCGACTTTTGGCAAACTGGGAAGAAATCAGTCAAGTTAGGTATTAGAGTTCAAGAAAAAATTGAGCATAGCACGAATTTAAATTGTATCAAACCGATTTACAACCCAAATCCTCCAGAACAATCATGGGCAGGTGAGAACTTGGGATGTTTGCATGATTCTAGTCAAGGTCAAGGGGCCTCTTTGTAGTAGGTGCAATGAAGTCTTGAGGCATTTGGGTGCTCAAGGTTGTTAAATTTTAGATAATACCTATTTTTTTTACCTTTGATTCTGCTTTGCTCCTACACATCAGAAGTCAACCTACGTTGATGGTTAGGGGCCTTGAAAATCGGTATGTACTTTTAGATAGCAGGCCAAGTTGCAGTAAGGTAGTGGTGGTTGTGGTAATGGTGGGGTGTAAGGGCAACAATGGTGGCGAGGTGGCAGCGAAGTGGTATTAGCTACAATGGCAAGAACTTCTTGAGAAACTATTTTTAGGTCCTTGTATAGATCTAAATGCTGTAAATTCAGCAAAATAATAGACATTGCAAGTTTAGGCTAATCATATCCGGTTGATTTCCCCTTCTTGGTAGCCCAAGACACTCGAAACAGAGATCCGCAACCTCCTCAGTTCTGAAAATAGTTGAAGCCGTCCTAACCAATGTCACACAGAAATAAGTAAATTTTCTGTCAACTTGTGTTCATTGTGATTCAAAGGGGGAACTGGTTTCATATTTATGTCTTGCACGTATCATCCATAAATGGGAATCTCAACCACCCATAGGAGAAAATCCGTCCTTTCAGTAACGTTGTATACAATTATATGTTTATTATCAAAGTGCTTCTCCGATTACTTAAGAGATCTCTTTTCAATTGAGAAACAAAACAAGACCGTTACGTTCCATTTTTAGTAAAATAGTGAATGATAGTCCATTAGTTATTAAAAAAAGGGGTTGAGGGATTTGTTTATGTTGTTCAGGTTGATCAAAAGGCGCAGCAATATCTTGAACTGAATGCAAAAAATATGGAAAAACATCTCGTAATGTATTTAACCAGAAACTAAATTTCTATATCTCTCATTATGTAACTGGACATGTAATTATATACAGCCAGACACCCAATAAGCCCTCCATTTTTTATTATTATAAAAGTTGGCAGTTTTTATTGAAAAGAACAACACAATACAACAAGGTGGCAACAACCCACTACAACATTCTTCTAACAATAAGTCTAAAATGAGGTCAGCGGTTTCCTCAAACCAGGTTATACAACTACTAAAAATAAAGAGCATAGTAAGCTAGGCGATGAACACACATAGGTAGAAGAAGCTCCAGTAATCTTATGTAGCAAAGTCTTCGAATCTTCCACAAATATGTCTCACAAAAGCTCTCCACTGAATTTTTTTTGTCATATTGCCAGTTAACATAGTATACAACATGTTTCAATCTACTTTATCACGTGACTGAACACATAGTTATAAAAAACTGATGACACCCAAGAAGCTCTCTCGATTGAATAGAATCTCAAAAACATTTTATTTATTAATCTCCTCATCATAAACAATTACATCAGAAACACCTAGAGAAAAAAGAAAGAAAAAACAATACATGTGAAATTCTTTTCCAAACCATAAGCCTCTCAATCAAAATCAAACGGAGTTCTCCAGAAAATATGCATGTGTTGGTTGCCATGCATGCATTGTCTTGATTATATGGTTGGAGTCGGAAGAATTAATCATGGTCGCTAATCTGTAGCCTTCGATATTAATCACACACTAATGGAGGCACATTTATTGGTTCCTCTAATTTTTCATTCCATGTGCTGCTTAATTTAAAGAGAAACCAACTAAGAAGGACATTTCAACTCAGTCCCTCAGTAACTCACCAGCTTTATGATTAAACCACATATATTCCGCATTAGGAAGCACAGACAACCAACCTTGGTTGAAATATAATTAACACCAAATTTATTGATCCAACCCTACCCCCTCAGCACCTGGCTGTTTGGTCTGAAAATTATGTAACAACTCGCCTAAACCCTAAAGCCTAAAACATGAGAAGTTTGTGTGTGCCAGCAATACAATTACGTATTGTTACTATTCCATGTATTATTATGAATGGCTTTAGTGACCAATTTTCTAATAGATATTGTTAAACTCATCAAAGTGTAATGTGTACTAGAAGGTTTTGGTGCTGAACAAAAATGGGATTCTTGGTAATGCTCAGTCAAACCCCTTTCTTCTATGACTTTATTTTTTGGGTTAGAACTTACAAGATCGGCTTTGAATTCAATTGCAAATAAAACCCTAAATTTAGCATGTAAGAAGATTCAATCTTTATATAAAAAGAGAGAAAATGCATAACCCACACGTGCATTTGTGCATGTGAAGAATCTCATGTCACGTGAAACGATTTATCCTTGTCCACAAAGTAAATCTCTTATGTTTATTATCAACCCGATATAAGTTGATGCACAGACGGTGCCAAATGTTAATGTGCAAAAATTTGGATTGATCTGAACAACATAAATCCGATCTAAATCACAGACACACAAGAATACATTGATATATCGTGATTCACCTCAAGTTGGGACTATATCCACATTGGTGTAGATCTGGTTTTCACTATATAAATTGGGGCTTGTTGCTAGAGAGGCTAAGCTTGTCATCCTCCTAAGGTGAGGGTGAATGATCCTTTTTTCATGGGTTAAATAATGCGGCCCCAATACTCAAGCCTAATATATGATACAACAAAAGGTCTTATATAAATCTCAAACTCATACCTGCGACACGTATAATTAGAGATATTTAGTAAACATGATACATGTAATATTATTTTAATTTGATACTACATGGCAAAACGGCCTAAAATATCCAGTTTCATAAAGGATATTGCTTCGCTCATCATCCTCAATTGTTCGTGTCTTATTCATAAACCGACACCTGCCCATTTTCCTATTTCAGATAACTTCTATTATTTTTAATCCATTTCGCATAACTTTTGAGGAGGACTTTCCTCATGATTCTTTACGAACGAGACACTTTCCTTACATAAAAGAATAATATAAACGCAAATAACCACAACAAATGATCCAGTGGTAAAGATGCAAAATGCAGCTTCTTAATAAAAAAAAAAAATATGGGAGGTAACAGATTTAATGTTCCAAGTTAGTGAATCTGCTTAACTGTGGAAATAGTGAATAACCATAACTTACCACCACCAATTTTTATAAAAAAAAAAAAAAAAAAAAAAAAAAAAAACACGATGAGTAGTGGTGGCAATCTCAAAACCCTAAACTCTAAACCCTCGCACATTTACATGTGCATCAGAGATTTTTTATCATTCTTGCATGCATGTAGAGTCCAAGAAGTAATAGCGATAAAAAATTTACCCATGCACATGGCCATAATAAAATCCCATAACATTCAGTGAATTGTGGTTGCAAAATCTAATAGCATAAATATCTACTAGCAAGCCAAATTTACTGATGGGTTTGCTTTAAAATTCACATATAATTGCTGCGGTCTGTGTTTCGTTGTACAAGAAAAAAAAAAGGGAATAGCTTCTTGAATGGTTTTAAGGCAGAGGAAAATTGAATGTGGCCATAAATAAGATGTACTTATTTTCTGATCGTGAATTCATGGCTTCTTGAATGTAGTTTGGTTTGCAGGCAAGCAATAGAATGAATGCTCGTGGAGTTTGAATACAGGCTTTCTCCTCGATGGCTTCTGAGAGAATCCTCTGATCTCTTTTCCCAGATTTAGAGGCTAATTATCTATACGTAGGTATGCCACTAAATGCTAGCTTTGGCATGCATTTCAAGAGGTGGAGGTTGAGAGAATTCAATTCAAGTTTCATGAATAAAGTATCAAAATTTATAGCCTGCAACTGGTAGGATTTGTATATATCATTTATATATGATATGATTTGTTTACCAAGTAAACACTGTGCTTTGATTTATATCTTTATTATGATCGAACTTCTTTTTTCGAATAGGAGAATATCGGCCAAGCCACACCGTAAAATTAGGTTTTGCCCTATATATTAGTAAAAGTACAGACACTCGATTTTGTTTGACAAATAAAATTGAAGCACAGGTGATTTGAACTGGAGAACTCGGAACCTCTAATAATAAAAATCAAATTACAATATTAATTCTTAAACCTTAGGAGATATTATCCTTAGATAAGATAATAGCTATAGATAGTTGTCAATACAAGGTTATTATGTCATCGATATGTTGTAGATAATTTTCCTTTCATCTTCACACTCATCTCCACAACCAAAAAGAAAATCCAATGTCCCAAAAAAAAAAAATTTAAGAACAGATCTTCACCCTTTTGAAACGTAGGGTTGTATATATGCCTGGCCAATGACATGAGTTCTAATATTATAACAACGAAAGTTTGTCATTGTCTTCTTCATTCTTGTCCAGTTTTATCGACAAATTTTGTAAAAATAACAAGTGTTGGAGTGTCTATATTTGGATAAAGAATACATCGACTGTGTTGTTCACTTATTTTTCTTGGGTAGCTAGTGCTGTTCACACATAATGTTTGACCTCTTACACACCATTGTTA